CCCTAGCTCAGAAAGCTTTTGAGAAAAGAAGAGTTTACATCCAGTTATGGGATAAAATCAAACATTATTTAGCATCTGATTATTTAACTTTCACGGTATTGTTCTTTTGGAAAGAATGATAAGCATTCAGGGCATTGAAGGATTGTAAACCAACTTCCTGTGGTCAAGGCTAATTAGAATTTCGCAACCCATCTAGAAATGTCAAATAAATAAATGTAACGAATAACACATTATTATGTAAGGAGAAAATATCTAAGAGTATTACAATATCAACCAAAAAAATTTCAATGCAAAATATGTAGAGAAATACATGCACATGAGACTCTAGCAAGAAATTATAAACACACACAATAAAACATGAACAGGAAAAGATTTTGTTTGATCTTGTTTTCGCAACTGGTCACTATTTCTTAATTGCTTATTTAAATTTAGTATGGTGCGCCATTTTTTTAGCGGATTTCATGAGAACTCTTGTCCCTTTAACGAGTTGTAGTGTGATGCTAAGAATGGCAAGGCCCACTGACGAAGTCGGCGAAACGTCTAGGAATGTACCACGTCCACGGTCCGACTCTGGAAATTATCATGCATACTATGGACTCCGGACTAGGTGCGCTCCTATAGGTCTTCCTACCAATATGACCAAGTTGCGAAAACAAGGTCAAACAACTCAAATACAGCGAAAGGAGGCCACGATCATATAAAAAACCACACTATCCTAGTATTCATATCTTCGATAGCTTTTATTAGCTGCAAGAATAATACTCCACTCTGGTTGCAGATGTAAAGGTAGGATGGCATGGCTTTCTTTTTTTGGCCATAGTTTTACTTAGCTTAATAAGCCGTTTACGTACCAAATCAACGGTCCGATGCCGAAAATCATCCTGAATAATATGGCATAAAACGCAGGACAAGATATGCTCCACAAAATGTCCCTGTCGCTCCGACCAAGTTGCAAAAACTAGGTCAAACCAACACTAGGAGTGCGTATTGCTGAACCTTGTAAAATAAGTATTTTTTTCAATAAAAAGTCTTTTACATCTCTGGTTGCAGACCCTCTGGTTACAAGTTAACTGAGAAATTTGAGTTTTTAATTGATAATAGATTTACGTCCATAAATTATCATGGCTAGTCTATGAGAAGTTTCGAATTTAAATTTACACTTACTAGTGCATTCTAGAAAAGCTCTCTTGGCAATTGAGTCAGTTCATCCAAGAGAGAGGAACGCCTTGCGATATAAATCTGGGACGAGTCAAGTACTCAAATACGCACAATTGGAGAGTCTGGTTATACCTTTAGATAATTAATGGTAGAAATATTTTATTTATATACACATAAAGTCGATATTAACCGTTGCATAATGAAATCTCATCTTTTGATTTCAAACATTAGACCATATCTGAGGCCTAGCAGGCAACAAACATTGCCACTTTGATAAATTGTAACTCTGTGTTAAGGATGGCGTTTCTCACTGATGATGCCAATAAAACGTCTGGAAATGTATCAAGTCAACAATCAGATGCTGGAAATCATTAATAATATGACAGAGGGCGCAGGAATAGGTACGTTTCACAAGGTTGCGAAAACTAGGTCAGACTAAAAATATACAGCAAAAGGAAACTACGATCAAACAAAAGGCCACGTCATCTTGGTCTTCATATCTACGAAACGTTGATAAAATTCACTCAAATACGAGCATAGCGGTAATGAATAAATAAAATCCGTGTAAAAGGCCTTATGGATGTCATGAGACAATTCCATCATAAAAAAGACCCGCCCGCACCCCAGAAATAAAAATGTCTAAATTTATCGGACAGTGAAGGAAAAATGACAATCTCGACACGTTAAACACCTCTGTCCAGCAACCCAAAGAAATTCGTGGAAGTGTGGTATAGTGGTTAATGTGTCGAGACTGTACGATGCATTATTCAGATTCGAGCCACATTATTGGTATGCGAGGCCAAAACTGAAGTCTATCCTGGATGATAATAGCTTTTTGGAGGCAAATATGCTCAAAATTCAATGAAAAAATGAGGGTTACTCATAGCATTTAGATAAATAGAACCTTGTGGCATGCTGAAAGATATACATAGGAACAGGGAGAACAACTGATTGGATATAAATTCATCAACAACAGCCAATGTGTTACTGAAGTTACACAAAGAAGGAGAATCACTAAGGCAGATAGCCAACAATAAGTATGAAGCAATACATAAATTAGCAAAGTTCATATATATGAAACCTAAGAAGGTAAATGACAGATTATCAAACACAGTGAAGAACTCATATGAATTTTCTCAAAGGATCAAAAACATGACACTGATAGAAACAGGATTATTAGTAAGTTTTGATGTACAATCTATGTACACACACATTTCTGGAGAAAAGGTGTTAACGGCCCTGATAGAAATTTTTGAACGAGAAAAGAATATCCTAGAAGCAGAATATCAGAAGTCGTTAACATGACTAATCAACTTGACAATAAGGAATATCTATTTCACATTCAACGAAAACATCTATGAACAGACATTTTGACTTCCTATAGGATCGCCGCTATCGCCTCTATTAGCAAATATCACCGCTGCAACCAGTGGTTCTTATGCTGCACCTAGATAACTACTTAGCAATTTGGTCGCATGAAAAAGAAAAATTAGAGGATTTCCTTAGGTTTATTATCAGTATTGGTGAAAGAATTAAGTTCACAATGGATGTAGAGGAAGAGGGGCGTTTAGCCTTCCTATATGTAAAAATCATTCCCTCTAATAGGATACTCAGGAAGAAATTGTTCCAAAAGAAGTTATATGCCGGAAGAATACTCAATTTTGAATATCATCACAACTACAGACTGAAGATTTAAATACTAAGAAGCATGATGATTAAAAGTATACGATGAACGGACGCGGAATTATGGGATAAAGAATAGGAAAAATTGACTCGGATATCTCTTGGCAACGGATATCCGTGAGAAGTAATAAAAAATAGCATACTAGCCGTGAAGAGCCGATTGCAAGACAGGGATTAGTAAAGAAAGCAAATATAGAGAAATACTCACAAAAAGACTACCTTCCTGTGAACTAGCTCAAAAACTATGGTCAATACTAAGAAAATGGAATATTCATGTGACCACGAAGGAAAAAACAGCACTCTTCACAAATCTACTTACGCAACATGAAGATGTACAAAGTGAATTGCTCGTGAGTTTGCTGCATAGTATGTGGGGTTTGTAAACAAAAAGAAAAGGACGAAGCAGTGAGAAAAATCAGCATACGAATCAAGGAGCAGCAAAGCCTCTGCAGAAAAATGGATACTGAAAAATAGGATATAACGGAACACATCGCAAAGACTTAACACGAGATCAATTGGAGAGCAACAGAAAGAAAGACCTCCTGTGGCGAAAACACAAGGGAAGATTAGGGAGACCATTGACATTCGTGAAGAAAAAAATTAATGAGCAGGAGATTGGAAGAAGGCAGAGTTAGTGATAACTTGTCTATTGCCTAATCAAAGCCGGAGAAAAGGATACAAAAAGACAAACAAAAAGAAGACAACTGGATTAAGGATGAATCGTAAACAAGAGGAAAAGGGATCTCAAGAAGAGGATGAGAAAGTTTCATAAATAAAGCTAAGACGTTCTGAGTGAGTTTAGTCTGCTTGAAGAAACAACTAAGACTTTGGAGGGCTGACTGTTATGTGACTAAGAAGATAGTTAATCACAACGGTCACAGAAATTCGGCCCTATAGCCAAATTGACTAGAAATCCAATCGAGAGATAGCAAGCGACCAGAGATAGAAATGCACAATTTATTCAGTGTATACAGGTTTAATCAAGGAGATGGTGCGAGAAAACAATGCATAATATTCACAAGCATGGGAATCAGAGCTTAGGAGCTCTGCAGATGAGGAAGCATTGTATATGCTACTGAAAGCTTGAGAAATAGCGCTTGGAATGGTACACTGGGGCTTGAACCGAGTGAAATAAATCAACCAGAAAGATAAGAAACGGATCTACGGGCCATGAGACAGATCCGGACAGGAGGCTTGAGTCGGATCAGTCACTTAAAAGGGAGAGGAGCAAAGCAAACAAAGGTGTGATGAAGCCAAGGTAAATTCGTCAAAAGGGCACACCTCTTGAGAAGTGGAATATTATCAAGTCAGAAGTTGTGATAGGACGAGGACAAGACAAGAAGGTAGGGAGTAGATAGGGGGGCCAGGACAGGAGTGATAGTACAACCGTTTCGGTAGAAAGTTGGTCAAGAGATTGACTTTGCTTGTCTGTTTGACGAGTTGTAGTTTGGTGCTGAGAATGGCAAGACTCACTGACGATATAGGCGAAGCGTCTGGGAATGTTCCAAGTCCACGGTCTGACTGAAAATTATCAAGCTTACTATGGACTCCGGACAAGGTGCGTTCCTCTAGGTCCTCTTGTCAATACGACCAAGTTGCGAAAACAAGGTCAAACAAATACAATACATCGAACGGAAACTGCGACCCAAATAGAAGCCACAATATCTTGGTCTTTGTATCTACATATATGCATTAGGTTGAAAACTTGAGTCTTACAACAAAGAAATAAATTCAAAATTAAATTGCAACTAAGACAAGATACTCGCCCCAGTGAAATTCCATGCTTAAAATAGCAGCATGATCATCATAAATGACTAGCATCTGAGCTCGAAAAACAATCATATTGACGTCAGCAAATTTAGATTTAGGTTCGTAAAAAGCAAAAAACAAAGATAATAAGCTGTCTACTATCTTGAAGATTTAGTTTTAGTAGTTTCGTAGACTGACAATGCCAAAGTTGCATCATCTAAATGAATATAATTGAGAGGGAAGAAATACGACTAAGTTGGTGCGCAACACGAATTTTCGAAAAAAAAAAAAAAAAAGTTAAAGGAAATAATCAGCTGCTGAAGATGCCCTCCAAGCCTATCCAAAAGAATGTATACACGGAGAGCTATTCTCGGTCAAGATAAAACAAAAATAAATAAAAAGAGTAACGCTCACCCCTGAATGAGACTTGAGAGACCGGTAAGTCGCGATATTATGGCAAAAGGATCGTCCGGTATGAATGACCTTGCCGGAGCTCCAGCAGCTGTATGAGTGAAGACGGACCCAGAGCCAGTATCGCTTTTGGTGGTTCCGCAAATCCCCTGAATAGAGGACTCAGAAGTGATTTCGTAATTGGTAGGAGCAGATTCAGTCAGACCAGCACTGTGCATGCTCAGAACTGATTTGTCCCCCAACTGTGAAAGGGCAGGTAATTGTCTCAAAAGCGAATGCAGTTCAGGCGCGATAGTTACTGGTGGTAATTTTTTATCGTCTGGGGCAGTCTTGCCATCAACCGTAGAAAAATTAGCCGTCGAGACTGGTGATACTTGATTAATGCGCCCATTCGATCCGGTAGAGGTGACTCCGGATCTTAGCAACAATTGAGATAGTGAAGGTGGTGGTGGTGGTGGTGGCGTTGGTAAGCGGAGGGGGGGTGGGGATGGTAGCCTAGTGGGTGTAGTCAGGTGCCCAGGCAATGCGAGATGTGGGGAGGCAGAAATAAGGGTCGAAGGGAGTAACGAAGGCGGCATGGAGGCTGCGCTGGCTGGTGGAAGAGGAGGAGGTGGAAGCTTGAGAAAGGATGTAGAGGTTGTAGTAGGCTTAACGTCTAGAGTATTTACATGGCTGAAGAGACGAGGGTCATTCGGTCGAGATAGGGATATGGAGGCAACAGAGAGAGGAACCATAGGCGAAGGAGGTAATGAAGGAGCAGAGTGGGGCTGAGAATGAAGCAAAGAAACAGAAACCGAAGGTGTTATCGGCGGCGGTGGGGGCGGAGGGAGTGGTGGAAGTGGAGGCCAGGAAGAGGGAAGGAAAGATGCAGTATCTGGCGGGGCCAGTTGAGATGGTACAGGTGGAGGGAGTTGGCCAGGCAGTCGAGATGTTGATGAAAAGAGGGGAGTGGAGAGGCCAGATCCAGGAAGATGCTAAGAAGAAAACAAATTAGGAATGCTTTGATTGAAAATGAAGGTGGAATATAATCCATATTACAACAAAAGAATACATAGACTAAAAGCTGTGGAAAGTGAAAAAAATAAATGTTTTGCAAGACAAGCAGTTATCTAATTGTCTTAAATTAGCATGGAAAGTATGATCATATAATCTATTGTGAACAAACTGAAAATACCATTAAAGTTGAAAAAAATTAGAATAACTTTACTCTTGTTTTGATACCAAAATTCTAGCTTATTAACAATAGCATAATCTCAGCCCATATTGTTGATTTGTCGCATACCAATATACTAAAGGTGAAATAACGCAAGATCTACTATTTATCTCGACTTCAAATCGTTGCCATAAATTTATTTTTATCCTCTATCCAGAAATCGGTTTACAATTCAGAATCGTCCTCAACATAAACTCAACAGCTCCCGGAGTAATATTGTTTGCATTATATCATGTAGTATTTCTCCTGCCCGTTTTTATTTGAGTTGTGACTTCATAATTATACTCAAATAAAGGCGACCACGCAAAGCATGTATACCTATGAATACAAGTTCATCAGCTCTAGAGCGAGAATACACAACCTTCTGATGTGTATATTCGGGAGATACTCATCTAACTCGTGCCAGCCAGGCTTAAATGACTGTTCATCAAGGCTTCACCTACAGGTAAAGCACAAACATTCTCTCTTTAGATAGATAGATAGATAGATAGACTGACTCGTTTATTAAAGGCCCAAGGTTGTATGCATTGGCGCCAATCACGGTCAACTCCACCACAGGAAACAGCAGATACTCTTTCATCTTCATCGACCTCTTTAGTCGTCTCCGTCATTTGCCCTGTTGTCGGCGATAAAGAAGAATTACGTAAGCTTCTTGTAGTGGCAATAGGATCAACGTCTATGAGATTAGAGCTTGCTGGTAGCTCATAAGTTCGTGCATGACGTTGAGTAGCAGAAACGGAAAGAGGAAGGTGCAGAGAAGTAATAGGAGACGAAAGCTGTAAGGGAGCAGAAAAAAGAGTTTGGCTTGCTGGCAAGGATGAAGTCACGTGTCCCCGACCCACAGAAATTCCAGCACTAAATAAGATATTATCTTTTGCTGCAGCTCGAGGTGATGCCTCTTCATCCTCAGAGACATCCATGTTGTCCTCACCAGGAGCCTCGTGATGGTCCCGTTCATGTTCGACGGGATCACGGATGCAACGAGTCATTTCAGGAGTATTCGAGATGATTGACTGAGTTTTTGAAGCTTGATGTGAGCTAATTCCGAGCTTATGGTGAATAGAAAGCAAAGGTTGTGATGAAGAAACTGCGACAGGAATACGTTCACGGCAAGCGACAAG